AATGATACCAAAAACAAAAAAAAGGGAGTAGATATATATGTATCAGACAAAATAAAACTCAAAAATGGTAAAAAGATACAAAGGTCATCATAGAATGATGAAGGGGTCAATCTTTCAAGAAGATAAAACAATTGTAAATATTTATGCACCAATATCAGAGGACCCAAATATATAAAGCAAAAACTAACAGGGCTAAAAGGAAAAATAAACAGCAATATATTAATAGTTGGGGGCTTTAATACCCCACTCTCCACAATGGATGGATCATCCAGAGAACCAGTAGGAAACAGATCTGAACAATACTTACAGACCAAATGGACCTAACAACCAAATATAGAACGTTGTATCTGACAAGAGCAAGCTACATATTCTTCTCAGGCACACAGGGAACATTTTCTAGGATAACCATATGCTAGGCCAAAAAAATAAGTCTTGGTAAATTTTTTTTTAATGATTTCTATTTGGGGCACCTGGGTGGCTCAGTTGGTTAAGCATCTGCCTTTGGCTCAGGCCATGACCTCAGGGTCCTGTGATTGAGCCCCATGTTGGGCTCCCTGCTCAATGGGGAGTCTGCTTCTCCTTCTGCCCCTCCCCCTGCTCATGCTCACTCTCTCTCAAATAAATAAATAAAATCTTAAAAAAAATTAAAAAGCTAGATGTGAAAATTAAAAAAAAAATTATGATAGAGAACAGAAAAACTATAGAAAAGATTAACCAAAGAGATGGTTCTTTGAAAAGATAAAATTGACATTTAGTTAGACTAACCAAGAAAAAGAGAGATTCCAAATCAACAAAATTATAAACGAAAAAGGAAACATTACAACTGATATCACAGAAGAACAAAGGATCCTAAGAGGCTACTATGAACAACTGTACACCAAACTGGACAACCTAGAAGAAATGGAAAAAAATTTTTGTTTTTCTAAGTAAGCTCTATGCTCAACATGGGGCTTAAGTCAGGACCCCAATATCAAGAGTTTTGTGCTCTACTGACTGAGGCAGCCAGGCTCTCCGAAATGGAAAATTTTATTAGAAAATACAACCTACCATGTCTGAATCGAGAATAAGTGGAAAATCTAAATAGACCAATTACTAGTAGGAAACTGAATCAGCAATCAAAAATCCCCCAACAAAGAAAAGCCCAAGACCAGATGGCTTCAAAGAATGAATTTTACCAAATATTTGAAGAATTAATGCCAATCCTTCTCAAACCTTTCCAAAAACTCTGAGTGAACACTCCCAAACTCATGTTACAAGGCAAGCATTACAATGGTACCAAAGCCAAAACAGGACATTACCAGAAAAAACTATAGGCCAATATCCGTGATGAACACAGATGCAAAAATTCTCAGTAAAATACTGGCAAACCAAATTTGGCAACACATTAAGCTCTTTCATAATGATCAAATTTATTTGAGAAAGACAGAGAGAGATTTATCCTTAAGATGCAAGGATGGTTTAATATATGCAAATCAATCAGTGTGATACATCACATTAATAAAATGAAAGAAAAAAATCATTATATCTATAGATACAGAAAATGCATTTATCAAAATTCAACATCCACTTAACGATAAAAACTCAACAAATCAGATACAAAAGGAACATACCTCAACAGAGTTAAGGCCATATATGACAAGCCCTCAGCTAACATCGTATTTAATGGTGAAAGGTTAAAAGCTTTTCCTTGAAGATCAGGAACAAGACAAGGGTGCCCAATCTCACCAATCCTATTCAACACAGTACTGGAAGTGCTAACCAGAACAATCAAGCAAGAAAAATAAGCATCAGAACTGCTGTCCCTATTTGCAAATGACATGATTTTATAGAAAGAAAATCCTAAAGACTCCACCAAAAAAACTGCTGGATCTAATCAACAAATTCAGTGAAGTTGCAGGAAACAAAATTAACATGTAAAAATCAGCAACTTTCCTATAAACTAACAACAAATTATCTGAAAAAGAAAAAAGAAAATCCCATTTTCAAAAGCATCAAAAACAACATATAGTACTTAGGAATAAAGTTAACCACGGGGGTGAAAGAGCTCTAGACTGAAAACTACAAGACACAGATGAAAGAAATCAAGACAAATGTAAAGGTATTCTGTGTTCACAGACTAAATTAATTGGACAAATAAATATTGTTAAAATGTCCATACTACCCAAAGCAATGTACAGATTCGAAGAAATCCTTATCAAGATTCCAATGGCATTTTCTACTGAAGTAGGAAAAACACTCTTAAAATTTATAAGGAACCACAAAAGACCCCAAATAGCCAGAGCAACCTTGAGAAAGAACAAAGTGGGAGGCATCACACTTCCTGACTTCAAGCTGTATTAATGCTATAGTAACTGAAACAGTATCAAATATTATTAACAAATAGTGTCAACTAATATTTGATAAGGGAGCCAAGAACTCTCAATGAAGAGTTGCTTCAATAAATGGTGCTGGGAAAATTGGGTACTCATACATAAAAGAATGAAACTAGACCTCTACCTTATGCCACTCCCAGAACTTAATTCAAAATGGATTAAAGACTTAAATGTAAGAGTAGAAACCATTAAACTCCTAGAAAAAAACACAGGAGAAAAGCTCTTTGACATGGATCTTAGCAGTGATTTTTCAGATAATCACACCTAAAGCACAAGCAACAAATAAAAAATAAACAAATGAGGGGCGCCTGGGTGGCTCAGTTGGTTAAGCGACTGCCTTCGGCTCAGGTCATGATCCTGGAGTCCCGGGATCGAGTCCCGCATCGGGCTCCCTGCTGGGCAGGGAGTCTGTTTCTCCTTCTGACCCTCCCCCCTCTCTCTCATTCTCTGTCTCTCAAATAAATAAATAAAATCTTTAAAAAAATAAAATAAAAATAAACAAATGGGACTATATAAAACTAAAAAGCTCCTGCACAGCAAAGAAATCATCAACAAAATGAAAAAGCAACGTATAAATTGGGAAAAAAATATCTGCAAACCATGTATCTAATAAGAGGTTAACATTCAAAAATATAAAACTCCTACAATAGCAAAAAAAAAAAAGAAAGAAAAGAAATCCAACTAAAAACTGGGCAAAAGACCTGAAATAGACGTTTTTCTAAAGAAAATATACAAATGGCCAACAGGCACATGAAAAGATGCTGAACGTCACTAATCATTAGAGGAGTGCAAATTAAAATCACAATGAAGTATTCTGATGCTATTAGAATGGCTAGCATCAAAAAGAAGTAACAAATGCTGGCAAGGATGTGGAAAAAAGGGAACCCTTGTGCACTGATGGTGGGTTTGTAAACTGGTACTGCCACTACAGAAAATGTGGAGTTTTCTCAAAAAAATTAAAAACAGAATTACCAAGTCATCTAGCAATCCCACTTCTGGGAATATACCCGAAGTAAATGAAAACAGTATGTGTAAGAGCTATCTGCACCCCAGGGAAACAACCTAAGCGTCTATCGACAGATGAGTGAATAAAGATGTGGATGGAAGAGAATATTATTCTATAATGGAATACTTCAGCTGTAATAAGGATGAAATCTACCATTTGAAACAACATGGATGGACCTTGAGGGCATTACACTAAGTGAAATATGACAAAGGAAAATACTGTATGATCTTATATGTGAAACCAAAAAAATAAAAACTCACAGAAGAAATAATATTTGTGGTTACCAGAAGCAGGGGTGGGGCAGGGGAAATTGGGTGGAGGTGGTCAAATGGTACAAATTTCAGTTCCAAGATAAGTCAGGACTGGGATGTAATGTACAGCGGGATGATGACCCTAACCCTGCTCTGTGGCATATATGGAAGGTGTATGTGGCATATATTAAGAGTAAATTCTATGAGTTCTCACCACATGGAAAAAATTTTTTTCTATTTTTTGTACCTACAGGAGATGATGGATGTTACCTAAACTTACTGTAGTTATCATTTCCTAATATATATAAGTCAAATCATTATGCTGTACACCTTAAAGTCATGCTGTATGTCAACTATACCTCAATATTACTGGAAAATAAAACAGAATGATGTATACAGACCACCAAAAGTAGGCATACTTAGAGATAAGCTAGCTTCAGAATTTCTACAAGAAAACTAGTTTTATGTCATAAGACATTAGAAGTTCCTCCTTACTGGCAAAAAAACAAAAACAAAAACAAAAAAACCTGGTAACAAAGACATACTGAGTTTCCCGTGTTCTAAATTACCGTGCGGACCCTCAGCTTTACATCTTCTGGGGCCATGTTCTGGGGCTGGGATGTAAGAAAGAGGAAACAAAAACAGGACTATGTAAATGGATGAGACACAAATCAGAAGGATAAAGAGAACTAAAACAGCAAAAAAGCTCATGATCTGCACAAAGTACTTACTGCTCACACCTTTCTTGAGAACACTGAACCTTATTTTTATAACCCACTGCAATTTCAATTTACGATATGAGGACTCTAAGAACCAACCCAAAGGACCACCATACCAAGTAACAAGCAGAGGTAAGGAAAACAGGTAGTTTACCACAGAAGGCTGCAATAACCACACAGACTTCCTTCCTGTATATCACCATGACTGCTAAGAACCCACATCTTTGATAATGGCTCTGAGCTCAGCCAGTGGGAAGACCGAGGGAGTCTCCCCAAGAAAAAAATCAGGGTCAAATCCCATGAGGGTTGGAACAGGGTAAAGATGACGTTCAGGTTGGCAAGAAGACTCTACCTATCTTTGTTGGAGATGGCATGAGCCAAAAGGACTTGCAAAATCCAAGAAGCTCAGTACTGATTTAGGCTTAAAAAAAAAAAAAAACCTTAAAAATCACATGTAGTGTATCTTTATTGCCACATTTGCTAACAAGAGGCACATCTTGTGTTCCAACTGTGAGATCCATATGCTCAGCACCACAGCACAAATCACAGTCTTCAACAACATCCCAAACATGCATCCTGTGGGAGTTAAAGACCGGAGCTGCCATCTGCCATTGCCAAGGACAGAAAGAAACAAACTGAATTCACTAACATCTTAGAGTTCCTTCTACAATGATTTTATTATAAATATGTTCTTCTGGAATAAACAAATATTGCATTCAAGACTATTTATCTGCAAACTTGTTCTAAAGTAATAAAGGAAGAGAAATGGAACCAGGAACCACTTAGAAATAGAGATAAGTAGCAAAGACACTTGCATGCATGCTAAGCGCCTTTCCCCCAGAAGTAACAGAAGGTTAACAGGGAATATCACATATCTCATTAGCCCATTCAATTAAAGTAAGCTTTGAGTTTGGTAATTTGCTCTTGTTCTGTAAACTGAACTGCTCCTCTCCTCAGTCCAAGAAGTAGAATGGGAAGACAGTCTTCAGAGCCCAGCATCAACAAGAAAGATCTTGACTTTGTTAACTCTGCTCATGAACAAAACTGTTTGCTATTTGCCAGGAGCAATGTCAGAGTAGTCCTTCAGCACTCCAGCCAGATGTTCGTTGTGGGTCTTAAACCGTCGCTTTTTCTGTGAAGCTGGCTTTTTCCTCCTCTGAATAGGGGCCTACAAGAAAAGGTAAAAACAGAAACAGCTACTCAGAAGGGCTGAATAGCAAGAATTTACTAACGATGTGCAGAAGCCTTTCTTCCTGCTAGGTGGCCCAGCTGCCCACGCCAACCCCCAACCACAGACGTGCACACCGCCACCGGGAATAACGGGGCTGGCACAAGAAACTCCCCAGAACGATTCTCGATACTTAGGTTTAAAAATACATCCACCATTACCAATAAAAAAAGATCTGAAGTAAATAAGGCAAAATACCGAAATACAGCAAAACTGGGAAGTGGCTACGCACACAAAGATTTGTTAAATATTATTCTCCATTCTTTTCTGTGTCCTTGAAATTTAAAATCACATTTTTAAAAGAAAGTCAACAAACTAAGCAACGATAGGAGAAAATAACTCATAAAAAAGTGCTGCAATTACACTAATTCATGGAGATCACTGGGCAATAAATCCAACCTTTTAGGGAGTCCTACAAATTCACTGAATAAAACACACACACACAAAATCCCAAAGAAGGCAAGTTACAAAGACTGACGGTAGACATGGGAAAGGGGGAGGAGCAGAGCACCTACAGTTAGGGTGTTGGTGAATTATTCCCCAAACTGGGTTTGTCCTTGGACTACAGACAACTGATTAGCTGGCAGAAGGCAATTCACAAGTCATCTTTCCATTACAAACCCCTCCTTTGATCGGGCTTTGGGACTATACAGTATCTGGTTCCTAAGGAATCTGAAAGTTAACAAGGACAACGATGTGATCAGGGCTGAGGCGGAGCCAGGGACCAAGACCACAGGGAGCAAGGGGGAGGGGAGCATAATTAAGGTCTTGAAGGCCAAGATGACGAAGCAAGCTCCTTTTAGAAACTGGGAAGGCAACATGTGGGCACTAGAAAATGTTGGGTATGACTCAACCTTAAGAGTAGTCCCTGCTAAGACAGGGGCTGGAGGGGTAATGAGGAAAGCTCTCACATGCCTGGGCCGCAGCACCCGGGGACAGAGATCCACTGGCCCCCAATAAATCAGACATGATCTGGTTTGCATCTGACCAAGATCACTGATTAGGACACTGAGAAAAAACTGGAAGAGAGAACCAACTACCGCTCTTCAGAGAGAACAGGAAGCAGGCTCACAGTTCAAAGAACAGAGGATTACTTTTTTTTTTTTTTTCCCTCAAGAGACTACATACCACTTTCTTTGGTCCAGATTCCTGCATGGAAGAAATACCCTGTCGCTTCAGATATTCTTCAATTTTCTCCTCATCCATTGAATCCACAGTGACGCTCCTCCAGAGTTTCTGAAACTCTGCCAACAAGATAGTAGTGATTTTACAACAGATGTTTACAAGCTATAGCATTTGTGATAAAAATCCAGGCCTCGCTATTATCTCCTCTGGTCTAAAACTGCACACCTAAGATTTCATTATAAAATCAAAGGAAGTAAGACAAGAACACTCAAATGCTGGACCGTGAGTAGCAGAAGGGGCTGGGAACAGTAGTGTTCTATTCGGAGTCTGGTAATGAAGGACTGTGTCCCTGAAAACTCCCTGAAGCTGACATTCTCCTTTTAGTCCAAAAAGCAGTTCTCTCCAATGAAACAGTTAAAAATTCCTGTTCAACCCCTGAGCTCAGGATACTCCATTTCCTCTATCAGTAAAAAGAAACATGAAAGGAGATAGGGAATCAAAGTTTTATATGGGGTAAGAAGCTATAACAGTTCATTAACAAGAGAGACTTTGGAAACCAAAAAACCTGGAGATGGGGGACCAAGAGGTCATAAAGACTCTTGAAGAGTTTGGCTCAGTTATTTTACAGAATGGCCTTCACTTTGGGGTTGTCTAGTGTTTCCTCATGATTATACTGAAGTTATACATTTTTGGCAAGAATATCACAGAAATGACGCGCCCTTCTCAGTGCAAAGGGTACATGATGTCAATGTCTTATTACTGAGGCTGATAAACTGATCGCTGGTGAAGCTGGTATCTGTCAGAGTTCTCCACCATGAAGCTATTATTTTTCCCTTTGTAATTAATGAGGACCTTATGGGGAAATCTACTGAGACTAAGCAAATACTCCACTTCTCATCACACTTTTTGCTAACTTTAGCATCCACTGATAGCTCCTGCCTATAATTATTACTTGTGGGTCTGCCTATTGGCAAATTATTTCCATCATTCCTTCCAGATGTGTAAATTAGAATTCTACTGTAAGGAAGGACTATTCTTTCTCCATTTATTCAGTTGTTATTTGATGTAGTATGGACTCATGGATACTTATTTTACGGATTAGAATCAATTACTATCATTGTTATTCAAACTTGCTGGCTCTGGTTATTCAGAGCCCCTTCAGACTGTCCCTGTATCTTTTTTACTTGCTTTCCTTTTTCTTTTTGTTTTGTTGAGCACTTACTTTCTAGTACCAAAAGATGTTCCAAGCTCATATTTCCCCAAACTTGGAATCAACCATTTCATCAAGGAGTCCGGACTGCATTTATTGGAGAATGTTATCTAGAAACCAAGATCTGAACGCTCTATTTTCTTTTTCTGTCAGTTTGGTTTTTGGCTTTTCTGTTTTCTGAAAACAGCAAATGATTAGGGGATATCAAATTTAAAAGCAGATGGATTTATTTTGGCAGAAGATCTCCAAGTATCATGACAGTCAGGCATGCTCTAAACTATAGTAAATAAAGTAAGAACAGATTTAGAAATCTAACAGAAAAGAAAAACAAGCTAGAATTTACAAATTCAGATTGGATCCTCTGAATTGAAGAGATCCCTGTCCCACTTAAGCTAACAATGAAAACTGTGTAACAAAGTATGCCAGCAAAGGAAAGGAAATAAGCAAACTCATTAAAGAGGTTTTATGTAAATTCCTAAATAACTCATTCACGTTTTGGCTATGCCCAGATCTTTCCTGTGAAACGCAAAATTAGCAGACTCGTACAGTACAGCCTGGGAACCAGATGGCCTGGGTGTGAATCCAGGCACTCCATTTACTACGTAACACGGGGCAAGTCACTTAACCCCTCTGCCTCAATTTCCTGATCTGTATAACAGGGATAATACCACCGGTCTCATAGAGCTGTAGACATTAGAGTTAATGTATGTATCTCCCACAAAGAAAAAAACTATACCTGTTATAGTTATCATCATCATCTGACCTCTATCATCTCTTTTGGGTGCTAAGACCTCTAACGAAAGCAGTATAAAACACCTAAGGATTGGCTAACAGATATGGGGTGATCTCATTTATGTAAATTAGAAAAAACTAAAATTCTACAGATTTTTTTTTTTTTTGCTTCTTCCATCCCTGTGGTGTCCTTTATTTTTTTAATTTTATGATGTTTTGTTAGTCACCATACATCATTGGTTTTATGTGGTGATCCACGATCCATTGTTTTTGTACTAACACCTAGTGCTCCATGCAGTATGTGCCCTCCTTAATACCCATCACCGGGCTAACCAATCCCTTCTCCCCCCTCCCCTCTAAAATCCTGTTTGTTTCTCAGAGTCCATAGTCTCTCATGGTTCATCTCTCCCTCCAATTCCCCCTCCCCATTTTTCCCTTCCTTCTCCTAATGTCCTCCA